GCATAAGATTCTAATAAGATTACTGACATTTAGAAAAGGGAAGAAAGGAGCTAAATGTGTAGGGAAGGTGTGATGGGTAGGGGAAGAACAAAAAGGGAAAATAAAAAAATGTGAGAGAATGAAAAGATGAAAATAAAGTGTTTGTAGATGGGAAGGGGAGAAGGGGGTGAAAGGAGGGCAGAGGTAAGGGGAAAAAATGAGAATCAAGACTTGTCATGTAGAGGTACATGATCCCAACAATGAATGTAACTGTACTGAATCCCTAAAATGTACCAATAAACTCAATAAAATTAAAAAAAAAATCTCACTTTATTAAACTTACTTTCTGTTGCAAAATAAGAAAATAAACAAGATAAATATTAAGCAACATCAGTAATAAAACATAACATATGATGAAGTCTATGGAGAAAAACAAAGTAGGGACAAGAGACAGAGCATGAAGACTGAAATGTGAAACTGAATGATCCAGCTAAACATCATGACACGCACATGTAATCCCAGCTACTTTGGAGGATGAGGTAAGAAGATTATGAGTTCAAGGCCAGCCTGAGAAACTTATCTCAAAAAAAAAAAGGTGATCTAAAGGGCTTCGCTGAGCAGGTGATATTTGAATCAAGGTTTGAGAGAGAAGAGGGGGCCTGCCACGCAATCACCTGGAGCCACAAGCATTACATACAATTCAAGATGAAAAACACAAATTGCTGAGTGTAAAGACATCTGGTGACTTTAATGAGAAGCACTGCAGTCAATATTCAGACCCAGAGTGTAGGAGATGGCAGGAGATGAAGACAGAAGAGAAGCAGGGGATCCGGCCCCAGAGAACCTCTCTGGTCATAATAAAGATTTGGATTCTTTCCAGATGAAATGAAAGTTTCAGGAGCTTTGAACAGAGGGCTAAGATGCTCTAACTTTCTTTTTAACAAGATTCATTTGATTGATGGAATCAAAGGCAAAAATAAATACTAGATCCAATCAAGAAGAACCTCTGTGTGAGCCCATGAAAGTCCTGCATGAAACAAGTACATAATACATAAAAGTATTATAGTACCAAGGAACCTTTGTTAGAAATCAGGATTGAATTTTGACACAGCACAATGTGCACATGCTTCTGTGAGTGCCACCTTCAGTTTCCTGGCGACTCCTCTTCATGCCTCCATTAAGATTCATTGGTTATTGTGCTGCATATTAGTGGCTATGATCATTGCTTTCAAAGTTGGAAGAACTTGAGCTATGTTTAAGAGAAATACAAACTTAGCAGATCCTTCCTCTAGAAAGCATAAATGCCAGAGATAATGATGTATTATTAGGCATCCATTTTCTTTGTTCTATTTTTCCCCACTTCATCACTTTTATGTAATCATGAATTTTACGACATTCACAAAAGTTGTACATTTGATAGCTACAGAAAATTATTCAATATTAAATAATTTATGTCATTCAAATTTTAATTTATAGAAGTCTAGATAGAAAATCCATGATGGATATAGCTTCTAGATATTTTTGAGATAGAGAGATGGCACTATAAATGATGATGAAATTTAAATGTTTTTAATATTTATATTTATATATTTATAGATAAATATTTCATCTATAATAGTGATAATGCTTCTTAATTAACCCCCATTGCTATATTTGGATATGTAATGCAAAGTTCCTGGTTCATTTCTAGGCTTTACTGCCAATTCATCTGAGCAAAGTTTCTCCCAATTGAAATTCAATTTTTAAAATTTCTGAGAAATACAATGATTTAACAAAGGTGGTAAAATTTGATAATTCTGCCCAAAAGAATGGAAATTGTGAAGATTTTGCTTACAAAAATATTTTTTGAAAATAAGTGTTAAAGATAACATCTATGGGATAAATGTGTAGTAATTCATGGCTTGATATCTTTATATTATATCCAGTCATAACCTACACATTAACCACACGTATATGTACTGTCAGTCATCTTTGTTATTTTATTTACCATCAATCATATAAAAATAGCACTTAATTTTTTTTCAGTAAAAAAAGCTTATATTTTAAAATAAGAGGGCTGGGGATTTAGCTTAGTGGTTCTGCTGCCTGCCTCGCAAAAGCAAGGTCCTGAGTTCGATGTCCAGTACCAAAATAACTAAATAAAATAAGAGAACATTTATGTTTTTTGTGATTCTAAAAAGAAAAGAATTTGTCACTCAATATTCAGGAAAATGCTTGCTCTAATTTTTTAAATATATCCTCCATCAAAGTCGGAGTTCCCTTTTTTAAGATTTTATTAGTATGCATTTGGAGTACATATGATTACATTCATCATGGGGAGTTGGTACATGTATACATGTATAGTTCTCTTCTTTTTCCTAGCTTGATAAGCACATTTTTACAGAGTGGACAATAACATGTGTTCAGAACTATTTTTTCTACATGTAATAAAATGATCATGTCATTTCTCTTTTCTAATTTCATAAAATTAAAAAAAGTAAGAGAACAGAACATATTTTAAATGACCATTAGCTTGATTTAAACATGTAGAAATGTAGTTTGTTAGTTCCCATTTTCATTTTGACCCTGGACCTCTTAAATATTAAGGGAACCCAGTTAAGAGGTTATTGTAGAAATCTAGGCAAACGATTATGGTAGGGTGAACAGGGTTGCAGTAATAGAGATGTGAGAAATTATAAAATTCTGGATATATACTGAAAGAAAGATAAGAAAGATTTTTCTGACAGGTTGCATTTAAGTTTTAAAGAGGAACTCAAATGAAAAACCTTTGCTAGCCTGAGCAACTGGACAGAAGAAGTTGCCATTATGTGAGTTAAAGAGGAATTTGGGAGTAGGCAGTTTGTGAGAATTTCAGAAGCGTGAATTTACCATGTCAAACTTAAAATATCTCAGCAGGATTTGCAGTTTGGTGTTCAGGGATGTCATTCAAGTATTGTATTGGTAGTCATTAGGGTAGGAGTGGGGTGAGAATTGTATTCAAATTCTGGGGATGAGAGAGATGCAACTTTTGGCTTTTGCCTTTAGAAAAACAGGAAACATGATATATTGAAAATAAAAAGTGCTCTGCTGTGCCACCCCTCCCTCTTTATAGCAGACAGTGTCATGAAGAACCCACAACACAATTCCCAAAGCTATTTCTAGAAGCTAGTAACTTCTTTGTTTTTGCTACCCTGGAATAAAGCTCATATTTACCATCAATCCTGGATGTTAACTGTAAACTCTTACCTTCAGATTTCCTATAAAACATCTATCACAAACTCAGGTGTAAGGCACTGTCAGATACATAAAATTTATTGTGGTTTCCTCACTGGTTCCTTGTCCAGTAAGGAAATTAAATGATTTGACAAGACTTCTATCTTCCTAACATTGTTGGCTCTCAGCCTCCCCACATTGCTCCAACCCAACAGTAGAGATATTGCAAAGAAAAAGCAAACAAACAAACAAATAAGAACATAAAAGCAAGAGTAAAAACTTTAAGTTCTTAAATCTCTTCACTATCTAATCTTCAAATTGTAAAAGAAATAAAAATTCACGTGTATGCATCACTCTTTTAATCCTTCATAAATTATCTTGTTCTCTCTCTCTCTCTCTCTCTCTGACAAATACAAGCACAGCCATGACTAAAGTAATATTACAGTCTAAACAGAAAAGAACTGCTGAAAGAAGAGGGAAAAGGTCAGGAATAAACCAGACTGCTAGCAAATCCTTGGATGAGAAACAAGTACAGTCTTTCTGAAACATCATACAGGATGCTGTCTTTGATGAGGTTTTGAACCCAAAATAAACTAGGGATCAAGGAATAAAATAAAATTAAACTAATTTCTATAAAAATGTTTGACACTTCACTAATGCATTAAATATAGCATTTCCAATATTTGTTTGACATAGAATATATCCTTTAAAATGATTCATAATAACAACACCCCATAATGCCATTTCACTGAACAAAGTTTGGGAAGCACTATCCTAATATACATATGAATGACAATCCCAAAAGTGAATGTTTTTCAAAATTGGCAGAGCAACACCTCACTCACTCTCTGACTTGATGCAGCAAGATTTGCAAATCTGCATAACTATAACATCATAGAACCAAATTCAGTTTGCATTAAATAAATTCACTTTTTTAAAAAAAATGAAGACACTGAATTATCCAATACTCACAGTTATTAAACATTCACATTGCAAATGAATTCCCAAATCTCCACCTGCTCCCAGCAAAGTTATCAGTGAATCACTGGAATTAATTATTATAGAAATGATGATAATGATGCGAAAGAATTTATTCTAATTAAATGTTCTACCATGAAGTAAGGGTTGAAATTTAGATCAATAATGATTTAATTTTATTCTTGAGTCTTTCGGGGACATTCAGTTCTTCCAAGCACAATAGCCTGATAAATGGTTGCATTTTTGCTGTGTTTGGGCAATAATATCTTTATCAACTTTCTTTTTACATTTTTACCAAACACCCTAGTTCACATAACATCAGTTTTATGGGAAAATTCTTATACATGGATAAGTTTTAAAGACATTTTAGCTAGTTTGCCACTCTTTTTGTGTATTCTCCTGAATTAAAAAAGACAAAAAGGATAGTTCCACTCTGCTGGAAGTCAGACCTTTGAAGAGTATGAGACACTGTGAGAAAGACGTGACACTGTTAGTATCACCATTGCCAGCTCTTGGCTTCACATTCACACAGAGAGAATGACACACAGTTGTATGAAATAGAGAAGATATTTAGAATAATATATTTATTAATTATAAATCTCATCTACATATTTCCATGCAAATATTAATTCTTTAAATACTATCATAATGCTAAATAAAAAAGTTAGCTACAAACAATATATGCTCTCAAGTATATATATTTTCTACATGATATGCCTTTACGAATATCCTGTATCACACAACACTTTTGTATTATTTTTATAATTTTTAAATTTATAATTTGTAAAGAACCATTCTATTTTAATGGACTTATTCCCCTAAACCCCAAGTATATTGTTCAGGACCCAATTTTATGGTGAAGCTTCAAGTGGTTCCTCTGGGTACAAAAGAAACCCAGTAAAAATGCTGTCATCTTCCACACTCACATACAGTCCATTCCAGTCCTTTGACACCTCCAGCCACACTTGATCTCCTGCACTTAATTTCAGAATGAGGAGGAGAGAGGCCTGGTCTATTTCATGACCATAGAGAGTTTCTCTGGTCTTGAACTGCTTCTTATTCTGGGCTATCAGGCTGATCCCAGCAGGCCGGCCCCTCACAGTGGCATGATAGGAAAACACATATGTCCCGGGAATACTGCAGTTAAATTTCCCAGTGAAGGGGCTGTAATCCTCTTGATAGTTATATAGAATCTTGTCAAATTTGATAGGGATGTTAGGAGGAGGAAATGGCTTTGATAAAGCAACGCTGAAAGCTGACTGTGGGACTTTGGCCACCTCACCCTTGGAGCCCTTGAAGCCCCGTGAGCCCTTTTTCCCAATAGGTCCCCGGACCCCTTTAGCTCCAAGCTCACCCTTTGGCCCAGCAGGTCCCACCAGGCCAGGATGACCTAACTCTCCTTTTTCTCCTTTAAGGCCTACATCACCTTTGGCCCCAGGCAGACCATCTGAACCCCTTCTGCCTTCTATTCCAGTATCTCCTTTGCTGCCTTTTTCTCCCTTCATGCCCTCCTCACCTTTTTGTCCTTTTCCTCCTCTCTCCCCTGAATCTCTGCAGTAGCCTTTCTCTCCTGTCTCTCCTTTCTCTCCTTTGGCCCCAGGCCCTCCATTCAAGCCTGGGGAGCCCATGGCTCCTGGGTCTCCTTTGTCTCCTTTGGTGCAATTCCCACACAGATCCCCCTTTGAGCCTTTTTGTCCTTTTACTCCTGCAAGGCCATTGCTTCCTTTATCTCCCTTAGGACCAAGTCCACCTGAAACAGAAAATTTAAATAACATTTAAGGATCATATAGGCTATACACAGCATGCTACAACCACAGAGATCAAGAAATAGAAATGAAACCTCTTAACTGAGGCTTGGAAACCTAGTAAAGGCTATGCCTAGGAGCCATAAATGCAAAAGGCAATTTATAACACGCCATGCTCTCAGAAGGAAAAAAGTTAATGCTCTCAAGAAATAACTTATATTCAGAACTCTTATGTCTAGTTCTCTTTTACATTTATGATAATAAAGTGTATCAGAAAGATAGTTGCTCATTGTATTCCATTATCCTTTCCATTTTAGCCTGAGTAGTCTCCTAAATCTCCATACCATATATCTACATCCAAAGTAGGCATAAAAATCAAAACCAAGAAAGATTCACATATTTTTGCCTTTGACAGCTGAAGACAAGAGCAGAGCTGACATTTTCACCCAGCTTCTAAACTCCTGAAGCCATTCCAGCCAATCACTATACTGAATATTGGAAAAATAATAGTAATGTATATTTCCATCTTGCCTTTCTGATAACTTTAAGTATCAACAGGAAGAGAACAGAGCACTTTACTGCTCTCATGACTATACAAAATAGATATATTTTGCACTCTACCTTGTTCTCCAGGTTTTCCTGGATATCCTGGAATTCCACTTGTGCCTTGGTCCCCACGTTCTCCTTTTAGTCCTAAAATGATACTAAGATTAATTTTTTGCAACTCTATTACTTATTCTATATCTAACATCACTTTTACGACTATGTCACATTCCATTGTTTCCTTTAACCAAAGTGGTTTAAAGGTAAAATAACTTGAACAAAGAATTCTTTTGAAGTCATTAGAAGTATCTACTTCCAAATAATGATAAATCATTTTAAGGAGACTGGATGGCATATCAACCCCTTTAAATAGAATTCATCTTTCCCCATGGCATCTCATGATTCTTCAAATCTCTCATAAAACTCATACCTGCTTATACTGTCTACGTATTTATATTTTTCCTATTATTAATTTTGATTCGCATTTGAAATATGCTTATATGCCTGAAAAATAAAGCCATATACCATTTAAGTTTCAACACAGAGCATGAATGTCTGCAATAAGCCAAAGCTAGTCAAAACAAAAACCCATTCAGGAATGAAAAGTTTTCATTGACACATACCTTCAAAGAAAAATCAATTTTCATTTCATGTTGAAACAACTTCCATTCACTCTTTGGACAAATTATAAAACTATGGCAAATCATATTTGAAAAACACTGAAAGTGCTAGATTGTGATATGTTTGCCATATTTCCATACAATAGATTTTTATATCAAGCCTCACTAGAAGCCTAATGTGTTACAGGGCAACAATCCTGTTATAGATTAATTTTAACTGTAAATGAAAATAGCAAAAATAATAGTCTCAACAAAGCTAACTTGTATTGACAATTTATTTTGCACCAGGTATTAATTCAAGCTCTTAACATTTTTTAAGTCTGGTATTTAAAAATTTAATACAATTTTGCAGGGCGTGGTGGTGCATGCCTATTATCCCAGCATTTGGGAGCCTGAGACAGGAGGATCGCTGTGAGTTCAGCACCAGCTTGGGCTACATAGTGAGATCCAGTTCAGTCTCAATTACATAGTGAGACCCTGTCTCAAAAAAAAAAATACAATTTTGATTTTATATTAATATCATCTCATATAACAGTGAGGTTCATATAACAGCACATTTCATTAACTGGAATGTTTTTATTTTACAAAAATTTATAGCCCAGCAATTCCTCTTCAAGAATGGTGAAGAAGATATTTTTGTCATCATTCTTATCACAGAAAAAGCTAAGTTATAAGAAAATTTAAAAATGTGTAGAGGCAAAATTGACTGCATACAACCATTTTGGCATCGATTTGCCAGCTGTGTTATGTATGAAATGACTAACATTTTGTTTCTTTTTGTTTGTTTGTTTGTTCAGGAAAAAAGAAATACTAGCTCAAATTAAAAGTGACGAGAATAGACTCTCCCTAAATCACAATGCTACAGAATACCACGATTACTCAGTAGAGCTTTCTAAGAAGCTGGCTCCCCTATTACCATCCTACATAAAATACAAAACTTGGATTTAAATCATAGCTCATCGGAAAAGTATCTGGATGCATCCTGAGAAAACCCAAATGTGAATCAGAAGGACCAACCCTATTCCCAGTTCTACTCATTAATCAAATATCAACCTTTACCCACAGAATTATCTAGGTTCTCAAGTTTATGTAAGGAGCTTAATTGCTTATACTGAATTTATTCAATCCAGTAATGATTAACCAGAATGTATTCATTTGATTCCTTTTTTTTAACTTTCAGTCTTAACAAAAAGTCTAAGCTAAGTCTAGAAGTAAAAGGAAAGTAGAGTTGCCACTCTATAGGGACTGGCTGAATGAATTTCTTTTGATCCTTCATCAAAGCACATGCTTAAGAACCTTATCTTATGATACTTCCCACTATTTTCTTCTACTTCCAGAAGTCTAGTTTCCAAAGTGTATGAATCACTGGGGAGGTTCAAACTTATCTTTATTTCACAGGGTTTTCTGCTAACATAATTCAGCCACAAAAGGATTAAAAATTTTCAAGAATGAAAAATCACATAACTGACAAGTGTGAAGTAGCTCTTTCTTACCTTAGCATATTGTTTGAGTAATTACTTCATTGAATGTTCTAGCAGAAATGAGTTAGGCAGCTCCAGAGGCATGTGCAGTGTGATATATAGATGATATTAGGTTTTTGACATGTGACACTGAGACTAAAACACTGAACCTGATGGATAGATGGTATTTTTTCTACAGACTGCTCATATTCATTGAGGAATTTCTAAATGTCCCAGTGAATCTGTAACTTTTTCTCGGTACATTCAGGCACTTACAAAACCATGGAATTTCTGAAGTACAAAACTTTTTCACTTATACATTCATGGAATTACAGAATTTCTGAGCTAGAAAAGATCTATGAAAGCACCATAACTATAAATCTTCTTTGATAGTAAGGAGGGTATAAATAAATAATAATCCATTCCCCTCAGTTTCCAGACAAGGTAAAATGACTGCTCCAAAGTCATGCTATAGTTTTAGTATTTCTGCTTTAATTCTCCACTCAACACTGGTACTGCTTCTGATTTCAGAATGAACAGAAAGAAATGTCTAATTCTCCTTAGGAGACAGGCTGTACACCTAAACTGAATATTCCACGTGATTGGTTGCTCTAGTTAATTCCACTAGTATGAAATTAACTTTCATAACAAGAAAGAAAATTACAAAGTTTATAGGAAAGGATCCCTCTCCAAAGACTTTGCCTTAAGGTTTCCAGTCACTGAGTCATCCAATTAGCCAATGAGATAGAAAGGCCATGTAAGAAACATTCGGCTGTACACCTAAACTGAATATTCCACGTGATTGGTTGCTCTAGTTAATTCCACTAGTATGAAATTAACTTTCATAACAAGAAAGAAAATTACAAAGTTTATAGGAAAGGATCCCTCTCCAAAGACTTTGCCTTAAGGTTTCCAGTCACTGAGTCATCCAATTAGCCAATGAGATAGAAAGGCCATGTAAGAAACATTCCGTGTGTGTGTGTGTGTGTGTGTGTGTGAGAGAGAGAGAGAGAGAGAGAGAGA